ATATATTGGTAAGAAATGATTATCCATGGATAGCTAGCACTAACCAAGGGTAACAAGGATTTATTAAATATTATTATTGAATTGGATTCAATGATGGGGGCAAAAGTGCATTGGTTTTATTCTAAAGGGTTACAATATTTAATGGAATTAAAATTTTGTCTAATTTTGAATTAACCATAAAACCAAGGACTTGACAAAAATGTTTATTCTCAAGTTAATTTTAAATTGTTTGAGGCCTTCCCAAAACAATTTAAAATTACACTTTGTGCCCATGGTATATAAATTAAGTTTTATACCATTTTAATTCAATTGAAACAAAAAGCAATCTCTCACTTTTTCTCTCACTCTCTCGGCTCTCTCATCTTTGGCTTGGCTGGACTTCATTTTGAGTTTCTTCATTCTCTTTTGAAGAATCTAGACTCCAAGTTTCAAAATCAAGCTTTTAATAGCAAAAGGAGTTGGTAATTTTCTATCTTTTTCCTACATTAATATGTTAATGTTATAATGGTTTGTTTTCTACCTTATGTCCATTATCTTGATCATCATTTTCTCTCAATTTCCATGTCCAAAATGCATGAATCCCAACATCACTGTCCAGGATTTTGCAAGTTTGGTTTTGGAAATGTAGGACATAATTCTTCTTCAACATTTGTCCCATACTAAGGAGACATTGACTAATTTCGGGTGCATGAAGTACATTAATAATATGTTTTGTACATGTTGGTGTCTGGACAACAACATCTTCCTTTCCTTTTGCTTCAACAAACTCACCATTTCCGACTTTGATTCTGGACCAATATGCATGTTTTAATTTGACAAAGCTCTGCAAGTCTGGTGTCATGTGGTTTGTACATCCACTATCAATTAGCCAACCTTCATTGCTTGTTTGTGTTGCACTGCCGCTACAAACAACTACTATGTCCCCTGCTCTGGTTGTTGATGATTAGTTACTTGAGCTTGCTTTTGGGACTGCTGTCATTTGTTCTTGTAGACCCTCACTATGTGGCCAAACTGCTTACAGGCCCTACATTGTATCCCTGGCCTAAACCAGCACCTCTTCTCGGAATGGCCTTTCTTTTTGCAATGAGAGCAAAGTGGATGCACCTTCACCCCACTTGGTTTTCCCCACTGACCATTGCTCATTTCTTTCCCCTTTTTATCTCCAGCATACCTCATATTGTTTCCTTGTGCAAACTTGCCTTTGTGAGTTGCCATCATTGCACCCTTACTTGTGTCTTATTGCCTCAAGTGTCTTCTTTGCTCTTGTGCTTGCAAGACATGGACTAACTCAGTAAGTGTAATATGAGACATGTCCTTTGAGTCCTCAAGAGAAGAAATTTTGGACTCAAACCTTTCAGGCAAGCTCACCAAAACCTTCTCATCAATTCTCCTATCTATCATCTCCACTCTAAGTAACTTGATTTTGTTGACTACACTCATCAACCTGTCAACATACTCTTTCACCTTCTCAGCTTCTTGCATTCTCAACATCTCAAACTCCCTTCTTAAGTTCAGCACCAGCATATACTTTATAGTGTCACTTCCCATGAATTCCTCCCTCAACTTGTCCCAAGCCTCTTTTGCAGTTTCACATGCCATTATCCTTATGAAAACAAGGTATGTTACAGCAGCATGGATATAGGACAAGGCTCTCAGTGCCTTAGCAGCTTCTTCTTCATAAATTCAACATTTTCTTCTCCATTTTCTTAGGTATTTTTTAAGATTACTTGGTAATCTTTTTTTTGTTACAATTTTTCCTTTATTAATAAATTTTTTAGACAATAATGCCCTTGTTTTGAAATTAATTTACAATAATATACCATTACAATTTTACCCCTATTTAATTAATTTTTTGGACAATAATGCCCTTACATTTAAAACAAATTACAAGACCCAAACCACCGTCGCCCGCCGCCGGAAGTCATCATTGTACGTCGATATAGCAGTTTCTGGCTATATTGATGGCCAAAAACGGCCAGATGGCCCCGGCTAGATCTATTCTGTCTGTTTCTGACTAGATCTACGGCTTCTGGCCATCAACGATCGAACTCTGGTCGTTGACAATAGCCAGATTTCTGGCCGCCAACAGCCAAAACTTTGGTCATTAACGACAGCCAGATCTAGCCGCAAATGGCCATATTAGCGCACGACCGGCCAGATCCAACCAGTCGTGCATCGTTACAACCACTTCTGTAGCTACCAGCGATGGTGGCAGGTGGCCGATAGTGGCTTGGGGTGGGTGAGGGTGTTTTTATTAAGTTTAAAACTTTTTTGGTTACTGGGGTGTTTTAGCAATATCTCAAATGTAAGGGGTTAAAAGAATTATTCAAAAAATAATAATATTATATTAATATTTAAAAAGTAGGGCAATTTAGTAAATTATATAACATAGCCCCCAATTTATTCCTCACAACCAAACATATTAATATAGAATAATACTACACCAACAACCCTCTCTCAAAAACTTTCTCTCACAACCTTGACGTGTTTTTTCACAATTGATTAATATTTAAAAAGTAGGGCAATTTAGTAAATTATATAACATAGCCCCCAATTTATTCTTCCCAACCAAACATATTAATATAGAATAATACTACATCAACAACCCTCTCTAAAAAACTTTCTCTCACAACCTTGACGTGACAGCTCACTATTGATAAGTTCACAACGGGTCTCACATGAGTCTCGCATGGGTACCACTAATTAATTGTGAGTTAACCAATTGCGAGCTACCACATCAGAGTTGTGAAAGGAAGTTTGTGAGAAAGGGTTGTTGGTGTAGTATTACTTATTAATATAACATACCTACCAATTTATTCCTCCCAATCAAACATATTAATATAACATACCCACCAATTTATTTCAACCAACCAAACACATTTCCCTAAACATTCCAAATAATCTTTTAGGGTGTGATTGGTTAAGGCTTTGGAAAGATAACTCCGGTAATCTATCTTTAATTTCGGACATTCCCTTGTTTGGTTGTCAAGTAACAAAAGATTTCGGTAATCATTTCAATAGCAATAGTGATTACTGTAGGTTAAATAGTCGTCATATTGACGCACGACTGGCGGGATCTGGCTAGCCGTGCGCCTATTTGGCTATTTTCGACTAGATCGAAGGCTGAAAATGGCCAAATTGTCGTGGATCTGACTGGAAACGACCAAAATAGATCGACCATTTGTGGCCGTTTTCAACCAAATCCATGACGATCTAGCTATTTTTTACTTTTGATCTGGTCGGAAACAGCCAGATCAATGTGGATCTGGCCGTTTTCGACCAGATCCACAGTGATCTAGTTGTTTTCGGCATTCAATCTAGTCGAAAACAGCCAAAATAGCCAAAACAGCGCACGGCTAGCCTGATCTCGTTAGTCGTGTATCGTTTTGGTAACTGACATCAGTGGCCGATGATCGGCGGTGATCTTGGGTGGCTGGGGTATTTTGTTAAAATTTAAACTTTGTTGTTATGGGTGTTTTAGCTAAATTCTCAAATATATGGGGTTAAAGGAATTTAAATAATAATAATAATAATTAATAATAATAATATTATTATTATTATTATTATTATTATTAAAAATGAATGGCAATTCAGTAAAAGTCTTTGTGGATAATATTTTATTCTTTCCAACCAAACATCTTAATTATTTATACCCACTAATCTAACCAAACGTATTGGTATAACATTTTCCGTAATCTCCAAGGTAATCTATCTGGAAGGTAATCCAACCTTTTGAGCAGCAAAATATTTTCCGAACCAAATGCACACTTAAGGTAATTTTTTTTCTATTAATAAAATATTTTTAGTAATAAAATATTTTATTAACCAAACACAACCGTAGGGCAAACTTCGGGTGGGAACTGGGAAGACGTCGTTCCGGCTATTCAATATACAAAAATGCTATATCCACTGAAAAAATTGCACAGAAACAGGTGGAGCTCCTTTTCTCTGACAGGAAGCCAAAAATGTTAAAACCAAACAACACAAAATATAAAAAAAAAAAAAATTGTCTTTCACGCTTTCCCACAACCCATGTGCTTTTTTGACGTCACTTCCTCTTCTTCATGGCCTTCCATGGCTTTTTAGCAGTTAATGGAGAAGAAGAATCAGAAGAAGGAGGGAAAATCATAGGAGGAAATCAACACTTATTAGTAGATGATGACCTCAGAGAAATAGGCAAAAAAGCTGCTTGGAGTGTTAGCTCTTGCAAGCCAGGCAATAGCGTCTCCTCTCTTCGTGATGATAATCTTGATACCTATTGGCAATAAAACTTCTCTCCACTCTCTTCAATTGCTTTTTAGTTTTATTAAAAAAAACTAACCATTATATATGGACGGTCGTCCTTACACAATGAACAGACGTTCACTCTAGATTTTATTTTAAGTTTTTATATTTTAAAAAAATTAATAACTTTAAATGTGAGTCAAAAGACACGTAAACCGATATAAAATTTGGATGTAAAAACCTTGATGTCTGTAACATTGTCGTGAATCAATATAATTCCTTAAAACATTGTTATATCGTCAGAATATTCAACTATGAGTGGAAGACCAAAGCAAAGCATAAAATACTATGTCAACAATAATTTTTTTCTTTTTCCTTTTATTTTTATCCTCCACCACCGACTCGCTTATCCGTTTCCTCTTTTCTCCATCTCCTTCTCGCTCTGTTGCCCTTCCCCTCCTCCTCTCTTCTCTTTCTCCTTCTCCTTCTCTTTGTCCCTCCCGTTTCTTCTCCTCCTCCCTCTTCTCACAATACCACAAAAAAAAGAAAAAAAAAAANCAAAAGTCAGCATCAGAATGACATCAAAAGGTAAGCAGGAAATTTACTTGCCATTGGAGGGTCCCCTTTTTCCCAGCTTAGCAAGCAATTTCCAAGAGCAATGACCTTTTGCATCTCAGTTTATCTTCCCTGAGTGGCTGAGAAACTTGGGTTCCTTCTACGGTTGATTGCCATAAAATTTCTTAAATCTTGGCAACACTTTTAACCAAGATTCCACGATGGAAGTTCTGACTTCAATTCTAGGTTCAGCTGCGGTAGAAATAAGCCGTAGGTGCTGTGGCTCCTTTTCTAACATCAAAAACTTCATCAGATTCCAATCAAACCTCAATGATTTAGAAAAAAAGATGAAGAGTCTGATAGATCTTCGCAACAATGTGAAAGAAGAAGTTGATTTATCTAATACACAAAAGATGGAGTGGCTTAGAGATGTCCAACAAATCATTTTCGAAGCAGAGCCTGTGCAAGCAGGTAGGACAACCAACAAACAAAAACTTTGTGGGTGTTTCTTTAATTGCAGTGAAAGATATGAATTCAGCAGGGAAACGGTTAGAATTGTCAAGGAGATAGAAAGGCTTTTGAAGATTGGGAATATCATTGCTAGAACAGAATGTGTGAACTATTTGGCTAAAAAGGTTAAGTATATCCCTGGACCGTCAATCAGAAATCAAACGACAGCACCAAATAGTTTAGCCAAAGTTATGAATCTATTGAATGATGATAATGTTCAGAGGATTGGTGTTTGGGGCATGGGGGGAGTGGGCAAGACTACCCTGGTGAAGAACTTGAACAACAATCTCAAGAACACCTCTTCCACTCAACAATTTGGCGTGGTAATATGGGCTACTGTGTCCAAGGAGCTAGATTTAAAAAGGGTTCAAATACAAATAGCGGAGAGACTGAATCTTGAAATGAGAATGGGAGAAAGTGTGGAGAGGTTAGCTGTTCGACTTCATCAGAGGCTCCAACGGGAGAATAAATTTCTTCTTATCTTGGATGATGTGTGGCAGATGATTGATTTGGATGCTTTGGGTGTTCCGCAACCTGAAGTTCATACAGGATCTAAGATCATTTTGACATCTCGATCTTTAGAGATATGTAGGGAGATGAAGACTGATGAAGAAGTAAAAGTCGATGTTCTTAATGACGAAGAAGCATGGCAATTGTTTAGTAGAAGTGCCGGGAAGGTAGCTACTTTAAAGCATATTGAACCATTAGGGAGGGTGGTTGCCAGAGAATACAGCGGTTTGCCTTTGGCTATCATCACTGTGGGGACAACTATGAGGGGGAAGACAATGATTGAACTGTGGAAGGATGCCTTGAACGAGTTGCGAAGGTCAGTTCCTCATATCAGAGGCATAGAGGATAGAGTTTTCAGGCCCTTGAAGTGGAGTTACGATTCATTACAAGGTAAAAACATCAAACCTTGTTTTCTGTACTGCGCTTTGTATCCGGAAGATTTCTCTATTGAAGTAAGCGAACTGGTAAATTGCTGGCTGGCGGAAGGCTTGATAGATGAACAACAAAATTATGAGGACTTGCACAATAGGGGAATTGCTCTGATTGAAAATCTAAAGGACTCTTGTTTATTGGAAGAAGGAGCCCACGAGAGCACTGTGAAGATGCATGACGTAATTCGTGATGTTGCTATATGGATATCATCCTCCTTGGATGATGGTTATAAATCACTTGTCCGGTCAGGAATTGGCTTGACTCGGATTTCAGAAGCTGAAATGTCCACATCTCTCAAGAGAATCTCTTTCATTAACAACAAAATAGTAGGTTTGCCGGATCGTGGAATTCAATGTCCAGAGGCCTCAAGTTTACTATTGCAAGGCAACCTTCCCCTTGAGAGAATTCCTTATGGATTTCTGCAAGCATTTCAATCACTCCAGATCCTGAATGTTAGTGGAACCAACATTCAGTCATTGCCTCAATCCATTCTCCATCTGGTTGACCTTAAAGTGCTCCTATTGAGGGATTGTCGTCTTCTTGAAGAATTAACCCAATTGGGCATGCTGAGCAAACTCCAAGTGCTTGATTGCTGTGCGACTCGTATTAGAGAACTTCCAAGTGGAATGGAAAATTTGAGCAATTTAAGAGTATTAAACATATCCCGCACTCACTACCTACAATCTATTCAAAGTGGGATTTTATCCAGATTGTCTAGTTTGGAGGTTCTACAAATGGCACACAGTGCTTACATTTGGAGAAAATCAACGGACGAAGTGTTGGGATGCCTTGGACGATTATTTATCTTATCAGCAAGATTTGCGACCATTCCATCTTTTATCTCTGAAGATCCTACCTGGATAGGTAGATTAAAAAGATTCCAATTCTATATAGGTCCGGAAGCAATCTCCATGCCAAGTAAACATGACAAAAGAAAGGTGACAATCGGTGGTCTTGATCTTTCAGGTGAATGGATCCGTTGGTTTCTGCCTAATGCATGTTCATTTGTCCTGAATCATTGTCGAGGGCTGAAGCAAATGCTTGAAACCTTGGTCATACACAGAGTTGATCATTTTGCCAGTTTGAAATCTCTAATCATTGCAAGTTTCAACAGCAGCTTAAGGCCGGATGGAGGATGTGCCGCCCATTGTGATCTGCTACCAAATTTAGAGAACTCGGTCTCCATAATCTGACTTGTTTAGAAAACATTTCAGAACTAGTTGGTCATCTTGGTCTGAGATTTACGAGACTAAAATCCATGGAAGTATCTGTGTGTCCTCGATTAAAATGTCTTTTCTGGGTTAGTTTCCTTCCTGCCCTGCCAAACCTGGAAAAAATAGAGGTCAGCTTTTGTGATGAGTTGTGGAGCTCTTTAATTGTTCTGCAGAAAGTTTTGTTCCAGAACCCATTGCTCCAAATCTAAAGACAGTTGAACTGAAGAAACTTGGCAAACTAAAAACTTTCTACAATCATGAACAATCCTGGCAAAGTCTAGAGGAGATTGAGGTTGAAGGTTTTAGCCAGAGAACACTAAGAGAGAGAAAACAGAGCACCCGAAAACTTTTGCATAAAAGGCTTACATATTTTCATTGAAGAAAGACAATATAAAACACTTGACAACTCTCTGCTAATTACACCAACTACAGCAGACATTTTCAGCTTTTAAATTCAAATCTAACCACTAATATTACAGTCATTACACAAAATAAACTTGACTTAAATACCCTTAAGTGACTAAGCAACAAATTATCACAAAAACACTTCCATGCACGTTAAACCACTGCTGCATGTAACCTTTAGCAGCTTTCCAAACACAAACTTGCAGACTTGAATCTTTGATTCATTTCCAGCAAGGCATCATTGCATCAACACTCCTCCTTGATGCCTTTGCTGGAAACACCAAGTTTGAGTCTAAGTTCCTCAAACTTGGCTTTAGGCAAACTTTTAGTCATAATGTCTGCAATCTGGTCCACACCCCGGTAGTGCATCAAGGTCACTTCCCCATCATTTTCAGCTTCCCTTACTGCATGAAATTTAATCTTAATATGCTTTGTCCTGTCGTGGATGTAATAACTCCTTTATACTAAAATACTCATAGAAATATATATAATAAAATACATATACATGAGCAAAAGTAGTTGAGCCCAAATTTTTCTTTTATTAAATACATACATTCTTTATACAAAGTTAAGTATTTTAGACAAGTCATCAAAAATGGACCAAAGTCATCAAAAATGTGATGGACAGTGTAGCTATTTCTCTTTGCTTGCTGACGTCCATCCGACCGCGTCCTCACCTAGATCTTGCAAACACAAAGAAAACAATGGGGTGAGCACAAAATAATGCTCAGTAAGTAAATCCTCTACTCGTCTGTCCCCGTAACTCTTTCTCTTAATTCTTTCCTTACACTCTTCTCATGTCATTTAATTTCTCTTTTTGTTTCTCTTTCTCATAACTCTTTTCTATTAACTTTCTATTGTAGGTCACGGCCTCATCTTACCGGAGGCACGGATAGGTACTCATCCCACTCTTCGTGACTCTACTCATTCTCTCTCTCTATTCTTTCTCATATTTTCTCATTATTTCTCACTTGAATGTCACGGCCTCATCTTACCGGAGGCACGGCCGGGTGGAGTTCACAAAGCACTAACCCACTCTTCGTGACTTCTACTCATTTCTCTGCCAATCGGACTCGATTATGCATGGATTCGGAACCCTTGGCCACGTGAGTGTATTCTCTCTCTCTTTGCGTATCACGGCCCCATCTAACTGGAGGCACGGCTGGAACCAGACGTTCCACTCTTCGTGACTTTTCTCATCACTCACGGGTTCCCCATCGCATAACCCACTCTATTCTCTTCTTTAGCACTACTCTCTCTTTTATTCTTTAGTCCTAAATCTCTCTTTCTCTTTACTCTTAGAGTTTTCTCATTCTCTTTACTCTTAGAGTAGCTTGTTCTCAAAATTCTCTACTCTTTCGCAAATTACTTCTCAATGCACAATTAATGCATGTGGATGGTTCATGCTCATTAATACACTCATGAAATGCAATTATGCCATGTTGCAAGAATTAAGGTTTACTACTCATGCTCAAACTTCTCTTAGGCATTTAATCAAACAACTCATGTGCATACAAAAACTCTACTTTATCTATAACTCTACTCTTTTCTTTAACCATCCAAAATGGGAGAAAACTCCCTCAATTCCTATCAAGGAAAACACTCCCAAAAAGGTTTACACAAAACCTCTCCAACTTCAACTCAACTTCACTCTCTCTTCACACATCAATTACTTCTCATCATGTACATATATCCAACCAATCATCAATTATCAACCCAATCTCATCTCAATTCTCAACAAGCATAATACATACATGCATAAAGAAAATCTCTACTCAAAGATTGCTTAAACTTAAACTTGGGTTGAATTTACTTACCTTGTGGTGGAGTAATTCCACTAGCACTTCTCTTTTCCTTTGGTAGATGGTCTTTTCTTTACAACTTTAAACAATAACACTATAAGACCTCAACACATTTATAGGTAACTTTCACATCTAAAGCAAGAATCCTTACCTTAGGATGCTTTAGATTAACACATTTTGTTAAGTACAAAAGCTGTGTTTTTTTTTTTTTNTGTGAGAAGTCCAAATGAACATACTTTGCATGTTAGAGAAGTTGATAAGGATGTGATGATTATCTCCTTGTATGTTGATGATCTTCTTGTGATAGGGAGTAAACTAGCTCAATTGGAGGAGTTTAAGAAATCCATGCTCAATGAGTTTGAGATGACTGATTTAGGGGAAATGTCTTATTTCCTCAGGATGCAGGTTTATCAAGGTTCAAATGGGTTTTTTGTCAACCAAGAGAAGTATGCAAGTGAAGTTTTAAGGAAATTCAATATGGAGAATTGCAAATCAGTGGACATTCCATTGGTTCCTAATCAAAAGCTTTCAAAAGATGATGATGCAGAAAATATTGATGAAGGGCTATATAGGAGTTTGATTGGTTGTTTGTTGTACTTAACAGCAACCAGACCAGATATAATGTATGCTACAAGTTTTTTGTCCAGGTTTATGAGTCAGCCCAAGGAAACACACTTCAAAGCTGTAAAAAGGGTGTTAAGATATGTAAAAGGTAGCACTAACTTTGGAGTATGGTTTAGGAGGTCAGAAATCTTTGAATTGGTGGGATTTTTTGACAATGATTGGGGTGGTTCTATAGAGGACATGAAAAGCACTTCAGGTTATTCTTTTTTCCTGAATTGAGGTGCAATTTGCTGGCTCTCCAAAAGCAAGAAACCGTGGCTCAATCCATAGCAGAAGCAGAGTATATTTTAGCTACTGCTGCTGTGAATCAAGCCATTTGGTTGAGAAAAATCCTAGAAGATTTAAAGCTGAGACAAAGAAATCCTACTGCAATTATGTGTGACAATCAATCAGCTATGGCTATGGCTAAAAATCTAGTTCATCATGGACGAACTAAACACATAAAAATCAAGTTCCATGCGGTAAGAGAAGCTGAACAAGATGGGGAAGTCAAGCTGGTCCATTGCAGAAGTGAGGATCAAGTGGCTGATATCATGACCAAAGGCTTGTCCAAAGCCAAGTTTGAAGACTTTAGGCTCAGACTTGGTGTTTCCAGCAAAAATATCAAGGGGGAGTTTTGAAACAGTGATATTTTGCTGGAAATATAACTAAAATTCAGTTTGTTTTTTAAAACCTTTTGGCGCCAAAGAACTCTCTATTTTGCCTTGCATTCTACTGTGTAAGAGCTACTGAAGTTGATATGTTTTGATGATGAGTTTAGTGCTCTCAGCTATGATTAAGGGTGTATTAGTTGTAAGCTTTGTTTTAAATTTCAAATTTGTAAATATCCTAAATAGTTGGTGTAACAGTGGGTAGCTTTGTTGTATAAAAGTGTAATGTTATTACAATGAAAAGAACCTTTCTCTCAACTCATTTTTCTCACTTTCTTTTCCTTAGCATTCTCCAGCTTAAGACACCAACAATGCCAAGTCACTATAACCTCACTTTTAAACAAGACAACATGGATCTAATACCAATTGAGATGCAAAAAATATATAGATCATATATGTTTCCCTTTTTCTATACTGGAATTCGAGGTTTAAATGTCAACATCTGGCCTTCAATGTAGATCTTCAGTTCAAATTCCTTGTATGCTTTCGTAATTTAGATATGGAACGTGTAAAATATATCATCCATCTTCTTTCAATCTAGAATGTAAAAGCTTCCTCCGGTCTGCTAGCCACATAAATTTATTTTCTTTCATAGATATTTCATCTTTTTCTCACTTACAAGGAAGCTTTTAGATTATTTGTAGGTTAAACTGTCTTATGAGACTAAACTGTCACCTGGTTATCGATTGTTTTTGGCTTTTCTCTCATCAATTTTTTCTTTATAGGAAACAAAAAGATATGTTTCGATGAAGAAAATAGTTAAACAACGGATCTGATGTCCATGATAGACACTTAAGAAGACAAGAGTTTTTGGTTTTTCTGTCATAGATTACCTTATATTTGATGTGATTTTGGTGAGTTTGTAGTGTGTTTTAGTTAGCTAAAGTCACTTTTTTCATGTACTAGTGCTATTATTTTTTTTTTTAATCCAAACATGTTCCAAGAATTAGAATTCGTTAAGAACAAAAGCTGCTTTTTTTTTTTTTTTTTTTTTTTTTGAGAATTTTATACATTGTTAATCTCCTTTCAGATCCTTGCCAATTAAACGATAAGGAACGATCGATCATTCTAAGGGAAATTCATCTTTCGCAAAGCTGATTCGGTGGTTGTTAATTAAGGCAAGCTCTCTCACCTTAAATCACTGTAGGAGACTGAAGAAAATGCCCAAAAACTTTATCAAAGATGCTAATGTTTTACGCACTGATTGTTGAAAGTATTAACATACTATACTCAAAGATTTAAAGAAGATTCAAAGAAGATTGAGAAAGGAAAACTAGGGTTCCATATATTAAGATTAACCAAAGAAAATGAGAGTAAAGTTAAATATATACACAACTAAGCAAAAGTACTAAACTACCCTTAAGAATAAGTAAAAAGTACATATAAATCCTAACATCCCCCCTCAAACTCACGATGTGGCAGGAAGAAGCATCGAGAGTTTGTCAACCAAGAAACAAAAGCGAGAGATAGAGTGTGACTTAGTAAACAAGTATGCAATCTGTATAGAAGAAGAAACAAAAGGCAATGTAATAGCGCCATGCTGAAGATGATGACAACTGAGGTGACAATCAATCCCAATGTGCTTGGTTCGCTCATGGAAAACTGAGTTGTGAGCAATTTGAATAGCACTCTTATTATCACAATACATAGGAGTAGGATGAGAAAGAGAAACACCCATATCGGCAAGTAACCAACGTAACCAAACTAACTTAGTGGTAGTAGATGCTATAGCATGATACTCAGCTTCTGTGGAGGATCTAGAAATGACCGGTTGTTTTTTGCTCTTCCAAGAAATACGAGAATCACCCAAAAAAATACAGTAGCCAGTGATAGATTTGTGATCAATAGGATCACTAGCCCAATCAGCATCAGAGTATGCATGTAACTCCAAAGAGGAT